GCGGCGTGTGGGGTGACCCGCCTGTCACGGGCTGTGGGGCAGCGCCCAGCCCCCTGTGCGGCGTGTGGGGTGACCCGCCTGTCACGGGCTGTGGGGCAGCGCCCAGCCCCCTGTGCGGCGTGTGGGGTGACCCGCCTGTCACGGGCTGTGGGGCAGCGCCCAGCCCCCTGTGCGGCGTGTGGGGTGACCCGCCTGTCACGGGCTGTGGGGCAGCGCCCGGCCCCCTGTGCGGCGTGTGGGGTGACCCGCCTGTCACGGGCTGTGGGGCAGCGCCCGGCCCCCTGTGCGGCGTGTGGGGTGACCCGCCTGTCACGGGCTGTGGGGCAGCAGCGCCCAGCCCAGCCCAGGCCCTGCGCTGTGGGACCACAACCTTTCCTTCGCCCGTGTCCAGCCCATGGGACCGACATCCCAGCATGCACTGCTGCAAGCCAGCTGGCATGTGGGGCAGAGCCTGTGTCCCGCCCCCATGGCTGGTAGCCCACCCCTCCTTGGCGTGGCCGGAGCAGCAGAACTGCATGCTGGGAGTTCTGCCCCCGCGGGTCTGAAGCCAGCCTGGCGGGGGGAGCGTTGCATGCTAGGAGCCCATCTCCTCGCCGTGCTGAGCTGGGCATGGCCTGGGGGCACCGGGTGGGCGCGGGCTCCTGGCTCTAGGGCCCCAGGGCCCGCTTAGTCCGCGGGGTGAGGGCGGTGAAGCGAAATGGGCTCTGCCCCTCGCCCCCTGTGCCCTTGGGGGGCCTCTTCATGAAGTGCCCTTCGCGCTGGGTCCGGTGGGTGCGCGGCCCCCTCTGTGCCCGCCCCTTGCGGGTGAAGCCCAGGAACCAGCCCCGGTGCCCGGCCGACATGAAGGCCGTGAAGTTGTTCTCCAGGACTTCTTCCACGAAGACACAGCCCCGGCTCCGCCCGTCCAGCTGGGGGAAAGAGAGAGACTGAGACAGGCGGGTGGGGGGCATTGGCAGGCGTGGGGGGCCATGAGGATGCAGAAGGGCAGGGGTGTGAGATGCAGGTGGGATGGGGGTATGCGGGATATGGGGAGGGGGCAGGGAGCGCAGGCGGGGGTGCTGTGGGCGAGGGGGGAGGCGATGGGGGATGCAGGCAGGTGGGGGACGCAGGCAGGCAGGTGGGGGTGCTGGGGGTGAGTGGGGAGGCTGGGGGGGCACAGGCGGGGGGACGCCAGCAGATGTCACTGTCAGGCCGCATGAAGCCCCGGCCACAGCGCAGGGCCCGGCCTAGGCCTGGGGGGTGGCTTGGTCATTGTGACCCCCCCGGGGAGGCTGCCAGGCCAGGTCCAGCCCCCCAGTGAGCCTGGGTGCCCCTTGGCCCTGGCCCAGCCACCCTGCTGGCTCTGGGGAGAGGCCGGGGCACTCGCTGGCTGCCCCCTCACCTGGGCAGGGGCTGGGGGTGTCCCCAGGTGGCTCAGGGTGCAGGCCTGGCCCCCACTGCTGGGCTGTCTGGGAGGAGCAGGAAGGGACCGGGGCAGCCTGGGGGTGCTGGGGAGCCCTGGAGGAACAGGGGCATTGTGCCCCCCGGAGCGGGCACACCTTGCCCAGGGCAGCCCCATACCTTGCCCAGCACCTTCCCTCTCCTGTCCATGCAGACGTAGTAGCCCGTCTCCTTGCCCTTGATGCGAACGTGGCTCCCAAAGGTGTCGCTCTCCACGGCCAGCAGCGCTGCAAGGAGCCAGGCGCAGGAGTTAGGAGCGGCTGTGACAGGGAGGGGACATGGCGGGCGGGGGGAGCAGAGATGAATGAGCCTGGAGCATCCTAGCCTGGCACAAATCCAGGCAAAACTGGGGCTAGGATTGTGGAGGGGCTGCGGGTCAGGAGTGAGGGGCACTGGCAGAGCTGCGGGGGGCAGGGCTGGGCTAGCAGGGGCTGCGGGTCGGGAGTGAGGGGCACTGGCAGAGCTGGGGTAGGAGGGGCTGCGACTCAGGAGTGAGGGGCACTGGCAGAGCTGGGGGG